GTTGAAACTTTCTTCTAGTCAGTGCGCAGGAATGACACGGTGGAAGCGTAAGAATAATTATTGGAAACTATGTTTGTTTCTATGCTGCCTACGAGAACCAAGCAGCGACAGCAGACGACAGAGTCAAAACGACCTGCTCTCTTGAGCTTCTCGGCGTTGCCGCTACACGGCGTCGGTTTCGCTGGAGTCGCTCTCAGCCACATGAATTCCGAATCTGGTATGCGGGACGCAAAAATGATCAAACATTTCAACCTGGAATACGCGAAAAAAAAATATATAGTTGAGGCGAAACAAGAATTCGTGACAATCACCCATTTTTTGGGGGAACACCTTCCAGCGGCGCATACCAGAAGTGGTGACAACATTCAAAATGGCTGCGCCCTTGTGAAAAAGGCGTATACGTGGCTTGCACTAAAAACACGCATACTGTAAAAAATAAAAATAAAGTTTGTAATATAACAGGAAATATTTGAAAAAAATTCGTCAAAGGTTCCGTTAGGCCAGGGGCCTTACACACGCGGCCTGCGGGCCGCATGCGGCCCGCGAATCGCTGGGACGCGGCCCGCTGGCAACCAGCTACGAGTCCCGGTTCGACTGCGACTACCTGGTGATAGGGGGAGAAAATTGGCTTAGAAGGGCGGAGGGAATCAAATGTTTGTCTTTTAAACTTATGCTAGGTGGCGCAAGCTACCGCCCGTTACAAAGGCCAGTAATGTCCGTCCATCCATCCATCCATGTCTTGAGCACTAGAAATGGCGTGCGCCATCGTGATCTGAACTCGCCGATTCGCCTTCGCTCGAAAAGTAGTTCTTTCCTTTTTTAAACGTATTCATACAGTTATTACTTACCTGTGTTCATTTGTCCTTTGTTACACTTTATGCTTGGCTTCCCAGTTTTTTTTTTTTTTTTTTTTTTGTAATGTACAACCATTTCGCTACTGGGCTGCAAGCGCGAGCTCTCCGTTGAAGGAAGCATCTCGACTGCGCGAACTCTCCATCAGCAGGAGCAACTGCCGAAGACAAGGTTACGAGCTCGGGACTCTCGCCTTTAAAATATATATATCACAATTAAAAGACGAAGTATGGGTGTTACACAGGAAATCGTCGGTAAAATTGCCAAATTCCGATTGCTTTTAGAGACATGTCGCGCTTGGTTAATTCCAGAGTGAATTGAGCAACGGGAATGACAGTGTACTTGCTCTCTTGTTCTATTAAAAATGTGAGCACATTGGCGGGGCAGTGCGATTTTAATTATTGTTATCATATCAGGCAGGGCCCAAAGTACCGATATAAAGAAATCAAAGCTAAAGATGTTAGGCGAAACTAACCTCGTTAACAAAACTGAGTTTACGAAAAGCATAGAGCACGACGTCTCTTCTGTTTCAAATCGTTTGATACCTCCCCCCCTCCCCCCCTCCCCCCCCCCCCCCCCTTCCCCCAGGTCTAACGTTGGCCCTCGGCCTTCCCAGTGTGGACTATCTGGCCCATACACTCAAATGAGTTTGAGACCACTGCGTTAGACTGAACGGTAGACAAGCTTATCACTTAAAGGACAGGGCTTATGTTATTCGTCAAGAACAGAAGTTTTTGGCAAATAAACAGCGTAAAGATACTTGTATTATCGGGGAAAAAAAAGTTTTATTACACAAAAACGTCGTTTTTTTTTTGTTTTTAGGAATTAACACTTTAGAAAACGTCTGGTTATCTGTAAGAAAACGGAGCTATGTTATAATTACACCCCAACAATTGTTGGCAAATAAACAGAATAAACAAAGTCAAATTACTGTAAAAAAAAAACAGAATTTTTTTTTTTATTTATGGATGATCATGATATCAGTGAATAAAGTCATAGTTAAAAAAAAAAATTATTTACGCGTTTGTATGCGCACACACAGAGGACGAACATGAAGCAGTGGACAAGGACAAGAGAACTTGTCCACTCCTTCGTCCTCTGTGTTTGCGCATACAAGTTTACCCAGTAGAAGGTATAAAGTACATAAAAACAACTTTCATTGCAAGCTAAAAAAAACAAAAACGTTTTTACAAACTTTTAAAACACACACCGCTCTTTTCTTTTCTTTTTACAAAAAAAACTGTTACATTTTTAGGAACCGAAATCATTTTTCGACTAGGCAGGGAAACAAAAAGTCAGTCATTTTGCAGAAAAGACAAGAACTGAAAAGATTATATATTTTTTTAAACAAAAATGACGGAAGCAGATAATTCGTGGCAAGAGAGCCGTCTAGGCTTTTCTGTTTCTTACGCAGTTACTTTTTACAGTGAAGGCGAGCTGATGAACTTTCAACATATTAAACACCCGAGACTTGGAAAAAAAAAGTAGACAACACTCGAGACCCGTGTGTGATGCTCACTTTGTCATTCCTACGTCTGGTAAGATGACATCATGTGCAAGCCATGACATCGACATCGACCAACCAGAACCGGCCCGTATAGCACCCTGCCGACACCGACGGTCTCACCGTCGCCCATTCAAGAGTATCCATCGAGAAGGCTGGACACCCCAGCAGCGACCACGTCCTCCCCCAAGGGAGTCACGAGCAGCAAGCAGCCCAAGGTGGGTCGTCGGGTGTCCCTACACACTCCACTCACCCCTCAACGCGGTAGGAGGGTGTCGGCCCGCCGTATACCAACCACAACCACCTCCCCTTCGCCACCCGACTCCTCTCGCTGCGCCTGGCCACGAAGAGCGCGATCACGTGACGAGGAACACACGTGCGATTGGTCCAGCAAGCCCGTAGCCTCCACCGCACTGCCAAGATTCGCGGTGCCCCGAGCCTAGGAACGGACGACACGAGATCGTGATCACCTCCTCCGCGCGGCGAAGAAGCAGGGAAGACTACTTCTGCGAACGTTGCGCCATATCCTGTCCAGCTGGAGAGCCTGCTTGTTGCCAGAGCGCTCTCCCCCTCCCCTCCTCGACGAGCATCGCCGGACCGCATTCTGCAGGACTCCCAATGACTGTAATTTCCGGAAAAGTGTTCCTCTCCCCAGTCGACGTTCGAGCGGTAGTCGGCGCCAACGCCGCGCCAGCGCGTATGCACGGACGACCGTGATAGAGTGGGCCCCGTATACTTCCCGGCTGGGCTTGATAGTTGCCACGACTGGTGTAGAGTCCACGGAGACCGTCATCTTCGTCTTCGGCTCTTCGTGCGCCGATTTCGTGGTTGCGAACCATTAAAAAAGAAGAAGAAAAATTCGGAGGAATTTTATCTTTGTCGTTTGGCCACCAAGATGACGACTCCGAGTCGGTCGCGTGCTGTCGCGCGCACCAAACGAACATGGCCGGCACCTTCGGGCATCGGGTGGATAAAGAGACGGCAAGAAGGGTAACCTTCAAGAAGGTTACCAAATCTCTGCTCCCAAATAAAGCTTGGATTCGAACGCGGACAAAAGTGACAATTGGAGACTTTTCAATAAGGTATACGCTTCGGAGTAACAGCACTCGAGCCGTCTCGGTACTTAAAATCAATAGTTGGTCTTCGAGTCACTCGCGATCTCAAATAAGACCGTGCCACGAAAAAAAAAAAAAAAAAAAAAAAAAAAAGCAAACCGAGGCTTAGCACTACGTCTCTGCAACAGCTTTGGCAATGGCGAGTTTTAGAATAGGGGGCCCCACAGCTTTGGGTGGCCCAATCGGCTTGGGGCATTGCAATGGGCATGCGCAGAAGTTCTGCGCGTGCGCACTGGGACGCCCCAAGCTGTCTGGGCCACCCAAAGCTGTTTGGGCCACCCAAAGCTGTGGGGCCCCTTATTCTAAAACTCGCTAATGAGTTGGCACACGGTTACGTGTCCGCCGGGGCAGCCGACCCGGCAGGGAAGGTCTCACCGAAACATTTCTCTTGCACCGTCTCAGGTGCGGCAGGTCCCAGGCCCGCATTGCATTTGGAAGCAATCATGGAATGCTTTTGAACGGAACGCCCTTCATCCAGAAAATGTGTCCGTCCATCTGGTCAGTCCCAGTATTTGCCCGCCAACTTTAGCTGGAGCATTGACGTCACGTGCCGTCAAGCCACGTGACACACAATCTGTTCGCTAAATTTAGCGGGAAAATTCGAGTCACGCTCCTCGACCGTCAGTCGCGACGCGGTCGGTCACTCGGGCCGACGACGGAAACATTTTGTTTTCTCCGAGTCTTTCAGGCCAGCAGTGTCGGTCGGTAGTGCAAGGGCACGATTTCTCACCTCCTGCGTGCCACAACGATCGCCGCACACACTCTCGAGACAGGGCAAGTTCGGTTTCAAGATTTTGTGCCCGTGCCGTCCTTCCCTCGCCTCAGTCTCGGAGTTCTTCGTATTTACATTAAATTTACACCGACTCGTTTGCACTCTTACTTTTTGGTCATAGCGCTATCTAAAATTCTTACATCAAATTTGACTTCAACCTTGATCGCTAAAAACACCCCTAAAAAAAAAAAATTTCTTGCAACTTTTTATATTTCTTGTTCTACCTTACAACCAAAGATGCTACAAGCCATCGGAGGCAATCCAATGCATATTGAGTGTCACGTGACCTTGAAGAGGGGGCACAGCAACGCGCCTGAAGTCACGTACTAGTCTATAGAGCTGGACCAGCGGTCGTCACAATCGTAACATATAATCATAAAAAAAGAAAAAAAAACCCTCTAAATTGTTTTTGGTGTCCTTTCAGGGAGGTGCCACACCGAGCACGGGTCCCAAAGTACGCAACCCTGGGGGAGGGGGGGGGGGGTGCACGCTCGGGGGCAGAAGACAGCCGAGACAGCGAGGGGGGCGCGCCGAAACAACCCGCCGCGCGACGAGGACCAACCCACCGAGACTCCAGGCACGGGACGTCCGAGCGAAGGCAGCACGTCCCGAGTGAGTGAGCGAGCGCGTAGCGTGGGCCTTCCTCCTCACCCCCGTGTTTGTAAACAGGGGGGAGCGGCGCGGAGAGGGGGACCTGCCCCCCCACCATTCACAAAGCTCCCCCCTCTTCCCCCCCGACGGGGAGCGCCGCCGTACACGGGCCCCGGCGGCACCAGCGGCCCCACAACGCCGTCGGCCTCAATGAAGTGCGCGTCGAGTGGGCCCCACCGGCCGAATCCGCCGCCGCCATGAGGCTACGCCGGCGGCACGAAGACACCGCCACCACCGCGCATGGACTGCTGCTGGCCACGCTCCTGGCCACGCTGTGCGACACGGCCACCGGACAGAGACTCTTCTACCAAACCGGGGTGAGTGGAGGACCGCACAACATCTTCCCTTCAGCGGCCTTGTTTGGGGAGGCGAGCACCTGCGGCGCGAGCTTCGAGACAGGTCTCGGCGCCGTTTGCTTCCGCGGCGGCTCGTCGTTTACTCAGCCAAGGTCCGACTCGCGCACGCTTATCTAGAGCACTCATTTCCTGCCGTTTGGACATCACGCAGTAGAACACTGCAGGCTCGTAGCGCTCGCAGGATCGTGGTTACTTAATTCAAACGAGGCGGACAGATTGCATCATCTACGAGAGCGGTGAGGACACCAGAAGTTGGCGAAAGTACTCATAGTGGCTACGACGAAACCAAATGTCAACCAGAGCTACGAAAAAAAAAAAAAAAAGTAAAAAAAGCGGTTCTTTACTGTTGTAAATCTTCTCCATACAGGTTACAAAATTTACCATCACCACGTTCTGCTTTTTGTTTTTCTTATAAAGTTATGCTTGGGTAGTCAAGTCAATCAGCTCATTAGAGTGATGATTAGCTTAATGGCAATTTCAATAGACACCAACCACACGCCATTAGAACCTATTGCGCTTCGATGAACAGATGCTATGGCTGGCAAAGTTTGTTTTAGTTTTGTTTGCTTAGTTTTTTTCGAAGACAACGAGGTGTGATGCCAACGACAGCAGCCCACATTCCGAAGTTTCTCGCCAATTAGAGCGCAGAGAAAGCGCTCGCGCAGAAAGGCGCCGGCGAATGTGGGCGCGTCTCTTTAGAGCGCGTCGGCAGACACTGACCCACGGCTTCCCGGGAAACCGACGTGGGACGACCCCCACATGTTCCCATTTTTTTTTCTTGTTTTTTCGGTTCCCCAGCCTTTTGCGGCGACATGTCCAAGCACAGCGCCAACCGCCGTAAAATCTCAACGGGGTAACCATTCAGGTGTTTTCCTTCGTCACTTTCTCGCTCCAAATTCGAACGCCTTTCGAACGGACGCTCCGGGCACTCAAACAAAAGTGTAAAAACAACAACAACAACAACAACAAAAAAAAAAAACGCAAAAGGTTTACTGTTAACCACATAGTGTAAACAGTCATCCTGAACCTGCGAGAACTGAATCTCCAAAGTCGCCTCTTCACAACACTTTCCCAGCTCTTCTCATTCGACAAAACAAAATGTCGAGTCATTGGGCTGTTAACGCGCCGGCGGCGTCTGCCAATTCTGCACAAGAGAACTAGTACTGCGCATGTGCACAACGCGTTGCACAGTCCAGCAACCAAAGATGGCAGCGCCCAGAAGACAGGCGACTACTGGAACGCTCTATATCGTGGACGCTCGTCGGCCGTTGCTGAGACAGAGTCCCTTCCGAGGTCTGGACTCGGGTCTCAAGGGGTCGACCGTTCAGAGAAGACAACGAGCTCGGGTCGGAAGAAGAGGGGTCGCGATGAGGGGGGAAACTGGGGGTTGCTCCCCTTGTTGCCCCACCCCGGGTTCTCCACCCGAAGACGCGGGAGGAACATGGCCCGAGGGGAAGGAGGTACCGCAGCAAGCAGCAGCCTCGGAGGAGCGCCGTGGCCGCCAAGGAGAACCGGTTTGTGGCCAACGTGCGCCATTCACCGGGCCGAAGAAAAGAAAACAACCCTACTACGTTTCACTCGGGAATTAATGAAAGGCGGCCAGCTACGCACGCACAACTCGCGTATGGACGGCGCGGCGTCTTGCAATGGTCGCCACTGTCTCCGAAGTCATTCCGCTCTGCGTCGTCGGACAATGGGCGCCACATATGAAACAGAAGCGTCAACAGGTAGTCACCTCGGCGTGCAACAGCGTTTAGGCTTTAGAATATCGCGGTGCTTTTTTCTGCTCGCTCTTTTTATGGGGTCTCGTTCCCAGCAATGCCACGTCCGTGTCTTCAATTTTTTTTTCGGCGCGGTTCACTTTTTGTAACCATGTTTAACCAATTCGTAACCATGTTCAACAAATCTTTACACCGCAAGATGGAGGACCACCGGATGTGCTAACCAACCGCCATGCAATACACGGGTCGAAAACTAGACCACCTAAATGAATGCAGACGCTCTGCGTTCTACTGGAACCTGCGAAGAGACACGAGATGTTCTAGTGCGATAATTAGTGCGCGCGTTGCACGGACTGCGAAATTCAAGTTTAACGACCTCGAGAGCTAAACACGGATAAAACTGCAACGCGAATCACCTCAAGATGTTGTTGGCACTGGATTGATGCTCAAGGAGCTTCAACCCAATACCGAGGTGCCACGATGTTCCAGGCATAGATATCCATCCGAGGCATGTGACACAAGCCCTCAGTACTCCAGGGCAAACGAATCAGTCGAATAACTCTTCGGATCGGCATCCGTGGAAGAACACGTGAAGGACGAGGAGAGACAACCATAAAAACATATATTCGTGTGTATATCAGAAAATGTCACCAGTTTCCAACGGTGTCTAGGGTTCAGGAACCATTCCTGAGTTCGAGCTTGACGACCTCCGTACCAGAGTTCTATCGAGCAATCAAAGCCGGGTGAGGCATCGTAGATGCTAGAGCCCTCCTGCCCTCCAGCCCCGGCTCGATGCCCGAGCGTTACGCACCGCCGTATACAGTCCGGTCAAAGGCGGCGAGCGCGAGACCGCAAAGAATGGCGCGAATCTCGAATGGACCACGCCTGGATCGTCCCGCGTCCAGACCATTCCGGGGTGGGGGGAACACATGCACAGCGTGGGCTTCGGTACGACCCAGATCGCCGGCCGGTGTTGGTGTTGCCGTCGCCCACCCGCATTTTTTCTTTCCTCGGTTCCGCGACGGAAAAGGAGACGATGCCACTTTCGGAGGACACCTGCTGCTTGCCGCAGCTGGACACGCGCGAGCGCCGGGACTGGGCAGTGGGGAGCTTAGATTTAAGAGTGGAAGCAGCAGCTGAAACCACGGAGAGCATTTGCAATTTAATTAAAGGTGGGCGCCTCCCGGGCACTACTTGGTCGCTTGTGCGCATGCGTTGCACCGTCGCGTGGTGAGGAAAACGTTGTGAAAGCGAAAGTTTGAAAGCAGTTGGAAACACTCTGTAATTTAGGCACACCCCTGGATGAATAGATGAGGCTGAACCCTTTGAATCGGGCGGCGACTTGCGCCACCTAGCCAGTGTTCTTTTTTCTTAACATCTATTTAACATAGAGTTATATGTCTAGAGATATAATCTTAAAAGCTATCAGTACGAAAGGAAGCGCCACAAGGCGGCCGCCCAAACAAGTTGCCGGTTATAGCCGGCCTCGTACGTGCCCTTCTTCGAGCACCAAGCACGTATAGGTGGAGTTCCACCGAGGCCTTCCTTTTGGGACAACATCCGTGGGAGGGGTCCAGTGTAACCGTCATCTGCGCCGGTTTTTAAAGCTTATTATAAAGTTAACTCAAGGGGCCACGTAGACGTGTCTTTCGCCGACCACTCGTACGAAGAAAGAGGTCTTATTATAAACCCACGCTACAGGAAATCGCCGTGAGTGTTTCCTCTTGAGAATTTGCATCTGGACGTTGAGGGGATAGGGTAGCCGCTCGCGAACGCAATCATCTCAGACTAGAAGCGGGCACAGATTGAGAACGTGTCCTACGCGCAGTACGCTGAAACTACTATTCATTTTTTCTTGGGAATCCTACTATAGGCCATTTCCTATGTTCAACAAACGCCGCATAAAAAAAAAAAAAAAAAAAGGATGCGTACGAATAAAAAAAAAAAGCATTATCGATGCGTCTGTTTTATCAGCAAACGTCTAGTTAGTACTGATCATATCTGCTAAACATTATCACCAGCCAAGATGTACAATCAGATAAGGGCATTGAACTAATCAAACGATAATTTTTGTGCGAATCATTTCTAATAATTATGCCTGCAAGGTTTGGCTACATGCAAACGAAGTGCTTTCACTAGCCGGTGTAAATTTGGAAGTGCTCATGCCCCACTAGCGTGGCCACAGAAAATACGGACAGTTACACCACAGTTAATCTTGCCAAAACATATTTATCAATCCATTGTAATCTCATGGTCACTGTGGCTTTGTGGACAAGCGAGGTGCTCAGGCCCAACTCGAGTGCTTTTGAATTATCCCGTAATATGACACTGGCGCGTGTATGCGTCTCACTTACGCTGCGTAAACCTATAACGTAATCATTAATTAAATTGCACGACGGCAGTAGTTGGCACCTAAGACTATCGAAGATATTTTATGACCCGTGACGCTTCTTGCCACGGGCCATCGCTGTCTTCTTAAAGCCGCAAAACGGGAGCGGACGCTTCGCTAAGAGACTGAACATCTTCAAGGCTAAGTTTGAAGACGTCAGACGTCGACAAGCAACTCCAAGGCTTCTATGCCTCCAAGCTTGCTTCCAGCCAGAAGCTTGGAAGGAGGCTTCCAGAAGACTTCATTCGGCCATTCTTACTATGGCCACTGCTGATCTTTCTGCCCGTGATCCTAAAACTGGCGCGCTTTGCTTCCTCCTCCTCGACAGCGCTCGGAGGCGGACCTTCCCGAGTGCGGTCCACGCGCCGTCTGCAACCGCGTGGACACCTACGGCACCCCCTGGGTCGAGAGACAGTGTCGCTGCCCCAACGACGCCCCGTGCCCGCGAGGCCTGGACGCCGACGACGGCTACACTGTGCGGGACAAGTGGCGTTTGCTCAAGACGTGCGAGCCCGTGCGGGACCTGCCCAGGTGCCGCTACTTCAGGGACGCCGTGTGGACCGTCGAGGCGTCGCCCGGAAACGGAACCATGCGGCAGACGGTGCACTGTCTCTGTCCTGGACCTTCAGTGGCCTACATCTTCAAGCATCGGCCGCAGAATGATCCCAGGACGCCGCTGCGATACACATTCGCCTGCTCACCTATCAGCGTAAGTGGCCTTTTTTGTTGTTGAGATCATTTGCCATGGAGGCTACAACGGTAGTTTCTAAGACACCTAACTAGGCGTGGCAGCAATAAGAATGAAATGAGGGGACTTTATGGGGCTTTATCCTGAGCTGATGGCCCATCCGATGGCCCATGAGACTTCCCTGATGGTGCTTCAGACCTTCCTGTGAGTGGCTCTTGGCCTGTCAGATCTTCATCATGGTCCTTCTAACCTCCCTGATGATGGCTCATGGTTCGTCAGACCTTCCTGACGATACCTGATGAATTACGATCGTTGACCAAGCGGCTGTTGGTAGAATGACGGCACCGTCGTGGAATTTGACGGTTCGGCCCAGTTAGCCCGAGCGTGGGAGTCCTACTTAACCTTATTTTAATCTTACAAGTATGCGTCAAAAGCCGACCGTTTTTCAGTACCAACGTTTTATGTACATATGCACACTCGATCACGGTGTTAAACTGATATTTGTTTGCTACCTAAAACATAATCTAAGACATTTAAGAAACAAAACAGAAAACTGAAGGCTAAAAAAAAAAAAAAATTAAAAGCAAAAAAAAAAAAAAAAGAAGAAAAAAAGGGAAAGACACGCAGAAGTTGTAGTACAGATCATCTTATGAAACTACAAATTGGAGTTTCGATTCGGGAAACAAAATCGCCAAAAGGAACGACATTTACTCAACACGCAAGAGACCACCAGGGCCTGTCCTACTTATACAAGAGTCCCAGCCACCGATGGGTCGGACAAGGCAGGATTAGTTGCATTTGACAATTTCCGCAAGATATTCGCAGACGCTATCAGGGTGTGCCAGCTCTCTTGGCAGCACCTTCCAGTCCTGCTGTCCTTGAAAGCTCTATGATAACCTTTAGCTGATAGGACAAAGAGTCAAGCAAGTAAAACGGTTTTCGACAACATCCCTTATTTAAGCAACCGCTCCCAGCCTCGCACAGGCCGAGGCTGATTAGAGAGGATAGAAGTAATCTTCGATTAACTTGTTTAGACACGCGACCGCCGAGCTCGGCTTACGCATCGAGTCTCACGGTCGTGCAAAGAATCGCAAACGAGGTAGGCCCGAACAGCGGTAAGCGAAAGCGATTCCTCGAAGCGACGTGAAGATTGCCAAGAACTGGCACGGCGCTTCCCATTGGAATGATTTCTTTGTTTTGTTTCGATACGGGCAGAACACCATAAGCGAAAGGAGGGAAATTTCCTCCCGAACTCAGACACTCGCGGTGACACCAGAACTGTCCATGGAGGTGACACCTTCATGGGTTAGTTCCCCTGTATACTTGGTGACGCCACAAAAACCGTACACCTCGCAAGTAAGGTGTTTTTCGTCGCGTAGCTTATTTGTTTTCTATTTATTAGACCGTGAGGGTTACAGAGAAAGCGGTAGTAGAGCGGAGGTTAGCAATACAAAACTATCTACACGTGGGAAATTGTAATGACATAGATCAGATGACAATCCGCACTTTTCTTTACGTAAAAAAGGACATGATATGCAGATGTCGAAGGTGAACGCGCAAATAGAATTAGACAACGCTGGAAGGATAAACGCAAGGACGAAAAATAACAACACGTCTTTCTACTCAAGCCTCGTGATGCCTACAAAAAAAGAAAAAAAAAAACTTGGGTGATTATTATTTTTTTGCTGAAATAGAATTTGCATTTGCTTTCTATCTTATATCCCCTCCTCTTGTCCATTAAAGGTCGTAGACTTGTATACTACTCATTACACAAGTAATCATATGACTCGTAATCGATTAACTTTTGGAGTAATTTTGAAATTATTCCCATACATTTATCAGGAACTAATCACAACTGTAATTTGATCACTTGTAAAAAGAATACAATTTCTTGTAACCGATACTCCTGCCGTCTACGCAACTAACGTCTAATCTTTCATTTATTTTTTTGTCAGTCAGCACTCTTCTCTCGTTCTACCATTCCTCGTCCCATGCGCTCCGTGTGCTCCAATAAGTTGACGTGACTCTCCCGTGCTTACAGCGTCTGCGCTGTCAGCGCAAGGAGCCGTGCCGGCTCTTCACGGTGCGCAAGCGTCCCGGTGTGGAAGAGGTGAACGCCAGCACCCTGTGCCAGTGTCCCCGGGGCTGGAGGTGTCCGAGCAAGCACACGGACGCCGTGCCGGGGGCCCGCTACGACAGGGTCCGGACCTACTCCGCGTACTGCACGGGACCCCAGTGACGACGACGAAACGCCGACAACTTCCCGCCGGAAGGCCAACAAGTAGACGGAAGGAGAAAGACACCCCCAGAAGGGCAATGAGCCAAATCGACAGCCATATCGCCCTTGGACTCGTTCAGGGAAAGACGCCGACGCCAGTAGCTTTCGTAAAGGAGGGCCACGTTCGAGAGGCCGTTGTGAGCTCGGTTCATGCACGGACGGGTCATTGGACAATCACGTTTCTTTTTTCGCCCAAGTCGCAAAAAAAATCACGACTCCCGCCAACTTAAGAAAAACAAAAAAAAATTGCAGTGTTATTTAGCGTTATGATGTGACGCTATTCTTCAGAACCCGCAGGGCGACTTTCAGAACACCTTAATTAATCGACATAAATTCCGTCTGCAACATTTCATTTCAGCGAGGCGAAAAAAAAAAAAAAAAGGTACAACAATGCTGACGACGCGTAAGAACATAAACATGTCCGATGGCCCAGGTTGCCCAAAGACAACCACAACGAAGATTCTCCAGTTGCCACCACCCATCAGCGCGAGGAGCGGCTCTCAGACCAGTGAACACAATGGAATGAAACGTGGCACCCGGGTTCAATTTTCGACCACCGGAAGAGTCACCAAGATAGTGACAAAAGTTCTGAGACACGCGTGCAGTGCACCCGGGCTCGAGTTCCACGAGACCGCGACAGATGCTTCTCCGCTGAGTGGAAGAGAGAGAGAGAAAGCTGTACTCTCAACCGGTTGCGCCCCAGGCAGCGACCCCCTGCTGTAGATAGTGTTCCCGCTTCCCCCCGTGTCTTCCTGTACAGATGTAAATAGGTAGGAACGATAAACAATAAAGCATCCAAGAAGGAGTCCCCTCCATAAATAAGCGTCGGCGCCCGATTAAGGTCACGGGGTTGCCCGCCGCCGCATAAAAAAGGGGAGGCTACCCTCCCCGATGACCCCAGTGACCCTCCCGTGACCCCGCTCAAATTTACGGCAGCGATAAAGAGTTATTAGGCGGCCAGGTACCCAGAGGGGCGCCCCTTCCGTTCCCACGCCGGGGGGTGCAGCCCGCTCCAAGGTCGGGGCAGAGGAGGCCCCCCCCTTTCGCATATGTTGCCACAGCCGGGACCACGGGGTCCCTGCACGCTGGGAAGAGTGCGGAACCCCCAACCTGCCGAGCAGACGGTGCTGGGCTCTGACGCGGGTCTGATGGGACTCTCCGGGACGTCTCGCGTTTCGGGATGAGGCACTTTCCACTGTGGCGTCGTCTCGTGGAGCGATGCCACCACCACGTGCATGCCATGCGCTTGACGTCATTGCATCCTGCCGGTGGTCATTCCTTCTTGCCGATCGATATGTACACGCTGCAGAAGGTGTGCGCGCTCAGTAGCGTTGATATGACGTCATTGCGATCCATTTGCAGACAATCCATTTGGCATCTTTGGTCTGCTCTTGGCCGATCCGACAATCACTCGCAATGGGGCCGGCTGAAAGACTGCCTAGAGCTGGCTTTCAAATGAACAGCTTATGGTAGCGCCAGCACAAGTGCGAGACTCGAATTGTGAGATCTCAAAAAAAAAAAAAAAAAAATCATTAATTAGGCGCACCAGGTTTTATGCCTAGCTATCAGCGCCAAAACAAATAAAATATTAATTTAATCGCCTTAAACACTTATATTAATAGAAAAGCTATGAATTTCGCAATGTTGCGGTGTTAAACTGGCCATGTTTCAAGCATGACCACATCAGGATGCTGACGCGCGACTACGCAGCAGTCAAGATCGCTAACAACTCGCGCAATCCAATGCGCACACAAACGTTGTCGTGGCTAGGCCGACCCTGCAAGGCGTCGTGGGTCCACGTGAGGGACTCTGTTCCCCCGTACACCCGGTCGAGGTGCAATAATCTCATCCTAATGCAGTGAAACATTTCCAAAGATACAACTCTTTTATAAAAAAATAATGCCGCGAAGAAAACAATAAATTCTTACAAGCAAAACCAAGAAGCAAACTGGCTTTCTGCATATCAGGGACGCAATGATACGGAAGGTACGGCCAAGTGCACCTTTGAAAAAAGAAAGATTGTAAACTCTGGGGTGCTTTGACCCCAGACTCCAGAGCTAGAGCCTTTCTTTTCCAAAGGACCACTTGACCGTACCTACCAGACCGGTAGATCTCTAGGTCAAAGCGCCACAGGCGCTTTGACCAAGACATCCAACAAGTTGGTTTCAAGGCGGCCCACAGATCCAGAAAGCCATCGTCGGGGCAGGATCACAAAGACAGCAAATTGGCCCAGTTGGCAAAACGTTGTACATGACCTGGTTCGATCAGCACTGTCCACCTCCACCATGACGTCACATCATTGCCAACCTAGCAAGCTGCCCTAAGAAGACGCAAAGTCGCCTGGAGACCGCGCCAGCTGGCCACGCTCTTCCACAGTATCCAAACGGTCCTGGCAGGGAACCACGCGCATTCAAGCGCAGCGGTTCATCCACGCAAGAACACTCGGCGAGAGAGAGCCAGCGCACATTGCCAACTCACGCAAGACGGTATAACGCACGGGGAGGGTGCCTTCCTTTATTTCGTTTACGACCCTTCGAACCCGCCGCCCAAGAGCAAAACGCGTCCAAGAAGCGCACCGTTTTATGCCTTCCTCCCGAGGAAGACTGCTTCCGAGTTCGACCAGGGACGCACGCGTTTATCTTTCCCACCCATCTCCTATATAGGAGCTGCTAGCGCAGATAGCTGTCTCTCTCTCTACATACAACCCCTCCCCGCCCTTCGCCTACGGCAGACGACAAAAGGATGCATAAATTTGCTACCCACCTTTCACTCACGCACGAACGCAGTTTTATAAATTCGACAAGGAGCCCATAAATTGTGGACGTGTCTTTTGGCCCTCCTTCCCTTCGGCCCCTCTCCCGGCCCCGGTTAAAAGGAGAAAGTGAGTGCAACGAGGCGTGACATTTTCTCTAAAGAGTGAATGGAGGGAAGAGGAGGACGGGGGCAGCGGTGTCTCCTACTAGTGCCACCTCGAAGAGAAGGCCTGCGCATCACGTCATCATTGGTGGGATCCCCGACTCACCGCGAGCGGCAATCAAGCCCGACGAGGATTGCCGCGAAAACGGCAGACGCGTCCCTCTCGTTGCCGCGTGCTATCGTCTCGCTAACTGTGAGACGCTGTAATTGGATGCGCTGGCAACGCTGCAATGTCAAGACGTGGGGGTAGTTTACAACACCGACGGACAGATTAATAAAACAAAAGAAAGCCGAAAACGTCACAACAGCGGCCATTATGAAGCATCTACAACCCGACGTCCGATGTGAAGACTTAACACCACCAGTGACCACCCGGTGCCGACTTGGCGAGGGCGAGTTCCTATGTATGCCTAGCCAATGATTCTCACGAGCTCTGTATGCGCGTACGAAATAGCGTGTTACAATATAGACCGACGTAACTGAGCGTTCGGCGCATGCGTGACGTCGCCATAATTTCCGTCCACACAGGAGGCAGGGAGAACGAGACCAGAGCAGCAGCGAGGTTGTCGCACGTTAGGAAATACTGCATAGCGATACACGAAGGCACCCTACATGCCAAACTATGCAACATTCCAAAACCCGATTCCATTCCATCCATGGCTTGGCTATACCCAACTGCAAGCATGACGTCTCGGCTGATGTGCCATGCACGCAAGCTCATGTAGCATGCACGTTGATTACTTCGGTAGAAGAACTTGTAGTGGGGCTCGTTGGTGAACGTTATGAAGCATGGTGTGTGTCTTCTTCATTGTGTCCGTTGTTTCTTGCGCGTTACACCATGCTTCTTAATACAGGGTGTCACAAAAGAAAATTTACACCGTCTTTTTTACCGCAAAAATAAACTAGGCATCGCCGAACGCTCATTCTCCGCCCAAAGGTAGAGCTAGAGGTCACGACCAGACGCCAAAGTTTCAGCCCGATCCGATAACTTAATCAAAAGTTATAAGTGATTTTCTGAAAATTTCAATGGGAAAATGGCGGCCGGCGGAGTTTTCAAACACATGGGGCTCTATACACTCCGTGCGGGAACTATAGGGGGCGCTTTGAAAAACGCGCGCAGCGCCGCTAGCGGAGGAGCTGGCGTTCGACTGTGAGGCGCGTTCAGCAGCCTGCGGCGCCTTTTCGCGTGCCAAGCTGTGGCGGCGGGAGCGCGCACGGACGAAACTTTTGCTTTTTGAGCCGATAAGTTGAGGGTGACGGTTGCATGAGTGCTGGGGCAGAAGGGCATTTAGCTGTTCTCCACTTCTTATATATTGAGTTCGAGTCGTAATTAGGGGTAATTTCTCTAGTTGCGGCCGAAAAAGGAGTTGGAGTAATTTTCCGAAAAACAAAGACGGCCGCCACCTTAATCGCTCTGAGTGGGAAATTTATTTCGCTCGTCGCTGTAAACCTAGGACTGCTGCAAAGATGATATTTGGAGGCGAGTGAGATGTTCACTAAGTTTGTGCACGAAGAGTGCCAAGTTTCTTTAAGACAGCAGTTGTGAAAGTTGTTTCTAACGGATAAAGAAATAAAGCTGTACGGGATATCCAATATTGAACCCAAAATGTTGTGTTATAGCGGGCTGCGCAAAGTGCAGATTTGGGCACACAGGTGCTGGGACTTGACAGTAACATGACACAGCACTTATTATACAAAAAAAAAGGTGGCATAGGGAAACCAGGTGAAAATTTGGTTTGAGCGGCGTAACTCAAAGGGAACCGGTTTTGATCATGAAAAGGCTGTCAAGAGAATACCACTGGTCGGGGGAGGTGGAGACGTTAGAGGTAGGAAGGGATTAGTGGGCTGTACTTCCAATTGAAACAACTTTACGAAAGGTGATTCCAAAGCCGAGAAAACAAAGTTGTCGGCCAACACACGGTTTGGCCGCCAAGGGCTTTTGCGGTCAGCTGTTGTGTAATAACCTCTTGTGCGAGGTGCTGATTTTCGGCGCACAGGTACTTTGACATGACCGTCACTTGGCACAACACTTATTATAACAAAAAGAGTTTTCATAGCGAAACCAGGTGGAAATTTAGTTTGGGCGGCGTAACTAAATGGGAACTGGCTTTGACCGTCAAAGGCTGTCAGATAATACCACTCATCGTGGGAGGTGCACACTTTACAGGGAAGGGACCAGTGGACGGTACTTCCAGTTCGAACCACTTTGTGATAGGTGGCTCTAAAGCCGAGAAAAAAAAATGTTGTCTACAGAACTCGGGGTATCAGCGTTTCCACATCCAAAAGGAGGCTGGTCAAGAAAGAAAGCACACCACATAAACTTTCATACTTAACCGTCGATTCTCCAGTGATTCCGAGTTTCATTGTTGTCTTTTTTTAGATTTATATTTGTCACTTTTTTTACCTTTCGAATCTTTCTTCATAAAGTACAGATTTCGTGCCATACTTGTCCGGAAATATCATCGACACGTACGATGGGGACGAAATTTCTTTGGAGGGCATTCCTGCAACAAAATTGGCAGTGCATACCTGCGAGTGTGGGTTCGTCCCATCGGCGCTGACACATGTAGGCGTTACTGGTACGAAAACAAACGCAGAGCGCCAAGCGGCAGTGTAGAATATGTCAGCCGTGCCGACACAGTGGCAGACATGATCGGGAGACCAAATGTCTCGCTTCGTACGGCACGGTTCCATCGTTGTCGCTGTCCCACAAAACATCGGCGAGGTGAAAAACTGTGAAACTTCGTCTCCACGAGATACGACGCATAACTATTGAAGCACTTAATGACGCAGCACAGCTTCATGCTGTGAACCCAGCGCTACCGCACCACTCCGACTTCAATGCGTACCAACGTACGCGGCGTGGTTTCGGTTTCGTTTTCTCTGGGGT